ACTTTATTAATATGCTCATAAAATTCATTATTCCTGGATACAGTAGGATATGTTTAAAATGATTCAATACAGAATTTGGGGTGTTGTAATGACATTATATTGAGGTAGTTGCATTTTTAAAAGGACTACCTAAATATTCAGGACTCACAAGTGAAGCAGGGAAAGAGAAGTTTACAGGTTTTTGAAAGAGAAAAGAATCACGAATGAATGTCTCTATTTCTTCAAGCTGTGAGATCCGCAGCATTTAAATCTCCATTTCTTTAGGAGTGACTTTCCTGGTAGGTGGTTTATCTGTGATGCAAAGGGTCAGGTAAGTATAGGAATAGTACCACCATTGGGAGCAATAATATCCTATCCTTTATCTCCTTTATCAGCCTCAGGGTACTTCAGAGCTCCAAACCTGTGGAGGTAAGCATGTGATGTATGAGCTATGGAAAAGATAAAGAAGCCATTTCTAGTGATGACAGTCTAGGAAACCACAAAGCACTTAGCTTTTTTTCTATTAATGCCATATATATATATATATATATATATATATATATATATATATATATTCTTATTTGAAACATTGTCTAGAAACTGATGGGTGTATAGAATGTGCAGTAAGATAATTAGTGAAACTCATGACATGTGACAAACTGGAGATAGTACTGACATTACGAGTCCTGGAATTTATAAGAGCTACCAAATCATTTCTTGGTTAATTTTAGTATAATCTCCCTTACTACTAACATATCATGTATACTATTATACCATTATATTATATTACATCATATTATGTATGCCATAGGATTTTGCACTGAAATTACTTTTGCTTTGAGAAATTTTATATCTTTCTTTGTTATAAAGCAGGAACTCTAAAATTCAACACTGAGGTGCTCAGACAATTAATAAACTGAGAAAATATATCAGACCATTTTGGGTCATACAGAGTTTTAGGCCATAGAGCATAGAAGTTGAGAAGAGTGAGGGATTTAAAAATTATAGCTCAATTTTTTTATAAGGCATAAGACCAAAGACTGATATATCTGCAACTAGCCCTCTAAAGTCCGTCTTTGGTAGCAGGGGTCGTAATCCCAACTCAGTACTCTTTGGGGAGAAGGAGAAATGCTATTTGAGATGAAGAGGATAAACTCAGAGGTTAGGGATGTAGCTCAGTTTGTAGAGTACTTGTTTATTGTACTAGAATGCTTTCAGTCTGGTCCCCCCTTTCTGTCTTGTGTCTCTTCAAGTCCTCTCTGTTTTTTGATATTTTGTTTGTTGTTATTTTATGAGTATGGGTGTTTTGCCTACATGTATGTCCATGCGCTGCCTACATGCTGTGCCCATGGGGGCCAGAAAAGAGAGTCAGACCTCCTGAAACTGGGGTTACAGATGGTTGTGAGGTGTCCTGTGGGTTCTGGGAACCAAACCCAGGTCCTCTTGACAAGAAATTAGTGCTCTTGATGCCGGGCGTGGTGGCGCACGCCTTTAATCCCAGCACTCGGGAGGCAGAGCCAGGCGGATCTTTGTGAGTTCGAGGCCAGCCTGGGCTACCAAGTGAGCTCCAGGAAAGGCGCAAAGCTACACAGAGAAACCCTGTCTCGAAAAAACCAAAAAAAAAAAAAAAAAAAAAAAAAGAAATTAGTGCTCTTAACTGATGAACCATTTTTCCAGCCCCACAGTTTATTTTCAATTCAGATGCTAGAGTGATCCCTTTATGCGGAAGGCAGTTGATAGAATTTCTCTGTTCAAAATCCTTCCCTAGTTTCTCTAAATCTCGGTGAAATGAAATTCAAGGATCATGACGTGGGAGTTGGGGAAACAGCTCCATGGGTGAGAGTGCTTGTGCCATAAGTGTGAGGACCCTGTGGTGACAAGCCCAGGCCGCCTGGGAAAAGCTGAGCATGGATGTGTGTGCACCTGCAGCTCCTGTGCTGGGAGCGGGGGATGGAAAGACCGAAAGATAGAAGGCTGGGGCTTGTTGCCTTCCAGCCTAGCTCCACTCTAGATTCAGTGAGAGACCTAGTCCCATCCATACCATATGTACGTAAACACACACACACACACACACACACACACACACACACACACACACTACATACAGAGGGAGATAGATAAACAAACACTCCCCTCCTCCACACACACGAGAACAGATAGATGGATGGATGGATAGATAGATAGATAGATAGATAGATAGATAGATAGATAGATAGATAGAAGTAATAAAATATAAAATTAAAACAGGGTCAGGCTATATTCTTCCTCTACTGTAATTACATCTTATATACTTCTCTTCCCTTTGGCGACCTCTTTGAAGTCACACCTGGATTCAGGTTTTCTGCCTCTGGGTTTTTGTACTTGATATTTCCTCTGCCTTAAACTCTGTCTCACCAGCTACTGATGAGTAAAGTGTGGCTCTGCATCATGTTCAGGTTTTCAATCAGATGCCACCATCTCTTCTTCCTCCTTCTTCAAAATTTTTAAATTGATTCTTTAGGAATTTCACATCATGCACCCAAATCCCACTCATTTCTCAGTCCTTCCATGTTCCCCCTCCACTCCTGAAAAGAAAATAAAAAATAGAAATAAAGATAAAAATCCCCTCTTCATTCCTCCATCTTTCCTGCCTCTCCATCATATATTCATTCATCTTAGTGGCACTGGGAGCTGCAGTGTGTCACACAGTATACACTTTTGTCTGGACAGCTCTACTTGCAAATGTTCATTGTAATGAGTTATTGGGGTGGTTTAAGGCCTCTGACTTCTGGTCCACCATCTCTCCTGGACACTCACAGAGACTCCTCTCAGATATCCTGCTGTTGCTTAGAGTCATGGATATCCTGCAGCTATGGTTCCTCAGGACCAGTCCCTTTACATGCTCCAGCAGGTCATGGATTGGGAATATGTTGAGGTGGGCCAACTCATGACCCTAGATGTGGGCTTGGGTGGAAGTTGAGTTGGTCAGTCCAGGCCTCCACCTGGACACCTCTCTTTCCCCCTTCACAAGGGGCAGGGTCAGCTCTCCCAGGCCAACATCACCAGAGACAGCTCTCCCACACCTGTACCACTGGGACCAGCTCTCCCAGGGCCAGTGAGGGGTGGGGCCCTTGGTTGTCAACATAGCCTCATGTGGCAGTCCAGACCACAGGCATCTGCATGGCTTTTGGAGGTAGCATGGGCCATGGATATCAACACAGACCCTGGCTGCAGAGATGCCACCTTCTTTATGAGATCTTTCTGTACCGGTTATTTAAAAGTTACCATGGCTGTGTTTTCCTGTTGTGCTTTCTACCATTTGACGCCATAGACATTTCACTTAGTTATTTGTCTTCCCTCTGCAATGGCCTGAAGTTCAAAGACTCTACCTTTCACAGAACACTGCCTGTGTCTTAATTAACAGTGAAATAAATACTCAATAAATACTTGAACATGAAATTCATAGAAAAATGGGTGGTGTCTACATGTAACCTGTACAGTGTTTCAGGAGGTAGGAAATAAAGTAGCATTCTGTTTCTGTCTTTTACCATATGAATAACTTGAATGAAAAGTAAATGGCACTCTTTTATGGTAAATTAGATGGCTAGTATTATAACTGGTAAGGTGATATAGGGAATTAAACAAAATTAAGCAAGCCAGAGTTCACACTTGTCTTTGTTACTTTAGAATTATTTCCAGAGTAGATTTTGTTTCCTCCCACTTTGGTGGTTTTTAGTATTTCTTCCCGCACTCCACTTTGGTCTCAAAATGGATTATCTTCATAGGTCATCTATATGAAAATGGAGTCTGTCACATTTATAAATAATCTTTTGTATGTCAACAGAAGCAAACTGAAGAGAAAGTTAGTGGAAGTTAGTATTTCTAGTAACTCTTGAGCTCTCACAAGTGGTTTTGAATTTCAGGGTGCCCAAGAACCCTGGGAGCTGCCGCACAGCACCCTTGGCTCTATTCCAGGCTCGCCCTGTGGAGCTTCTGCAGAACAACCCCTGATGTTGCTTTAACAATGCCTCTGGGGTTCTGCAGCAGGAGTACAGAGGCCCGTGCTTTGAGACTCGCTGCTCTGATCTTTCAAAAGGTGTTCAGTGTCTTTCCTACATGTCGGGCAGAGGTTCATAGTAAGAAGACAAAGATCAGGTTTCATTCCCGTGGACACGAATTATCTTGCTCCAAATTGTGGCTTGGCTAAAAACTGTCCATCCTCTCCAGAGTGCCATCTTGCCTGTGTGCAGTGGCTTACCAGAGGAAGGGAGAGGAGAATGAACTATTTTAACTAAGTCCCACTTGATCAATATTAACCCATCACTCTTTCTGAAAAAACAGTTCTAAAGACATGCCACATAACTGTAGGTAGTTAGAGTCAACTCTGGGCCACACTTGCTGACCTGCCATCATCCATTCCACAGATGGCTACAGTTTTTATCTTAAGGTCTTTGTCTCCTTGCTCCTTTCTTTATCCTAAGAGAATCAGGTGATTAAAGGGGTCAGGATATGGCACTCTGTTGCCATGGAGACTGGAAGTTATGCAGCTCCTATGCTGGTTGCTTGCTCTCTCCCACCAGCTGTAATTCTAGCAGAGCAAAGGGTTTTTTGCTAAGTGGGAATATGAACCTCAAAGATTGTTTCATTTGGTGCATGAGGGATGAGTGCCACTCTTTTCGTGATTCTGAGACACAGTGCCGAGAAAGAACTGGGATTTGGGTGCTTAAGCTGCCTGTCACTGTAACACTTGGTCTCTGGATTTGTGGGTGTTTTGTTTTAAGCCTTTTAAGCACCTTACACCCACGAGAAAGGGGGCATGGCATGCTTTCAATGCATTTACTTCCTGCTGTGAAAGAAGCAATTACAATGTGTTTGATAAAATTCTCCTGACCCCTTTGAATATGTGACTATGCCCAGGCTGTCTGTGTTTTACCCACATTATCTCATTTGACCCTCCCTGAAATTATGAAGTGAATTCTATTATTTCAGTGGATGTATTAGTTGTTTTTCTGTTACTGTGTTAAAACACTAGGACCAAGGCAGCTTGTAGAAGGGTTTATATTGGAGTTATGGTTCTAGAGGGTTAGAGTCCATGATGGCAGAGTGGAGGTAGCAGGTGGCAGGAAGACATGGGAGCTGGAGCTGAAGCAGCAGCTGAGAGCACAAACTGCAAATCACAAACAAGAAGGTTAAAGAGTACACTTGAAATAGCATAAGTCTTCACATTCACCCCTAGTGACATACTTCCTCCAGCAAGGTCATACCTCCAAAGCCTTCCCAAACAGGCCCACCAACTGAAGACCAAACATTCAAATGCCAGGGACTGAGGGACACTTATCATTCAAACCATCATGGTAGGTGAATTGCAAGTCTTTGCCTTTCAGTGATTGTCTGTGATGGACCTAGGAGTAGATCTGGGCAGCTGCCACACTTGAACTATGGACACTGCTCCATAGGAGCGTCTGTGTAGTCAATTGTGTACTTAATAAAAACCACTTTTCTTATATTTTTGGTTGTGAGCCTAGCCTTTAACGGCTGAGCCATCTCTCCAGCCCTAAAAACCACTTTTCTATAGCCATAAGTAAGGTCACATTCATGGCAAATGTAAGTATGCAAGTCTTAAGGCCAAACCAACAGTTATTCCAATAAGTTGCAAAACATCTTGGACCCAGGGTGCTACCTCCACTCCAGATGCCTGCACCTCAGCTACTGGTCTACCTCTTTTCAGCAGTACCTGTGGTAGATGGCTTTTTTTTTTTTTTGATGAGTCAGTCTTAGTTCAGTAGACAGCCCTCTTTGGAGCCCAGTAATCGCAATGGCTCTATCTATGCTGTACACTGGGTCTAGTTTGTTAGTTCAATGAGCCCAAAGGAAACACTGAGCAAATTCTAGCTTCATTTGCTTCTAGTTACTTCCTTTATCATCAATTTTAACAATAGCTTGCTCAAACAATGAAGTATTAGTATTTTATATAATAATAATAACAATACCCCTAAGATGTAATGATAGTAATTGTGTAAGTTGTCTGTCTGAAATTTGGAGATGGCCTTGTTGAGCTTAAATGGTTGACAACAACAGCTTCCTCTGAGCCTATGCGAGTGTCTGGTAGGTGACTTTTTCATGGTAGAGTGTCAAAGCACCCAATGATTACATTGACTGACATTTTCTGAACATGGGTCCCGTGAAGGGCAGTGGAGTTGATCATGCATGCGCAGACCTCTAGTTACTTTACTACTCCTTACTTTCCCCACGCTTTAAACTTCGAATGTCTCTGTGACGTTAATGTTATCAGCTTGATGGGATTTAGATTCATCATGGAAACAAATCTCTGAGCACATTGGTGAAGGAATTTGTGAATTAGGATAGCTGAGGCGTGAAGACCCACTGTAAATGTAGATAGTCCCATTCCATGGGCTGGGGTGCCTGACTGCCTAAAAAAGAGAAAGCTGAGCAGGGACACCTATGCACTCACCTCTCTCAGTTTTGACTATGGAGAGCATATGAGTTCCTATCTCCTGCATCTGTTGTCACATTTTTCCAGTTCACGGACTATACCCCTGAAACTGTAAGCCAAAATAATTCTTAAAGTATATTCTTTCAGGTATTTGGTTATAGCAATGATAAATGTTAATAATAGAATCTTCAAGACTTGCTCCTTTATCTTTATAGACTTGGCTACTTCATGAATAAACTTTTTTTGAAAATCTATCATTTCAGTGATTTAGTATAGTGTATTACAAGCAAAAAGAGCTTAGCTTAGTTACCCTGGGAGTCCTTTATGCTGCCTACGTGCTGAAGGCAGCGTGTAAATATGACATTGTTAATTCCTCGATAGACTGCTATCTTAGTCAGTGTTCTGTTGCTGTGAAGAGACACTATGGCCATGCCAACTCTTATAAGAGAAAGCATTTAATTGGGGCTTGCTTACAGTTTCAGAGTTTAGTCCATTCTCATCATGGCAGGGAGCATGGTGGCACACAGGCAGATATGGTGCTGGTGAAGGAGCTGAGAGTCTACATCTGGATTTGCAGGCAGCAGGAAGAGAGAGAGAGAGAGAGAGAGAGAGAGAGAGAGAGAGAGAGAGAGAGAGAGAGAGAGAAGGACTGGCTTGGGCTTTTGAAAACCCAAAGTTCACCTCCAGTGACTCATTTTCACCAACAGGGCCACACCTACTCCAACAAGGCCACACTTCCTAATCCCTTCTCAAGTAGGGCCACTCCCTTACGACCAAGCATTCAAATCTATGAGCCTATGGGGGCCATTCTCATTCAAACCCTCACAACTGCTTAGCCCAAGGTGGTTATGGTGGAGATCAGCATAATAAATGCTTCAACTTCCCAGTGTCAAGTGGGTAATTTTAGAAGACATTCTACATGCTTCTTAGAGGGATTAGTAGAATCTAGTCATTCTAAAGGAATCTGCCAGTGACTTTGTTAATGCACTTTATGCCAGGCTTTACGCATCCATGTATCATCCTCTATACTTACGGACTCCTGCTTTTTAGGGTGAGATCATAAATATAATTCTTATACTCAAGTTTCTGTCCTAGGCAAGCATGAATCCTTGCTCTATTACTTGACTGTCTTATAATACTGCCACTTATTCAGATAAACTGAGAGTCAATGATCTAAATGGAAAAAATAATATCACCTCATAGGACTGGCAGTTGTGAGATGGTAGGAAGCTGATACACCATTCATGGTGAGAGCTGTGATCCTTGTCCCAGGTCTGGGCTTCCCTGGTGGATGGTGTTAAGCAGCGAAGGGGAACGAGTGTGATACAGTCATGAAGATAAATGTGTAGGCAAAGAGAACTCAAAGTACATACTTTCTCTTTGGGGAGAATAAGCTCAACTAAGCACGAATTGGGGCTTTCTGCCCATATGAGTATGGCAGAAAGTTAGCAGGATAACATTTTCTCAATATAATTACAAGGAGTTTTTTCAAAGTACCTACTTTCTCTTGAAGGGGAAAACTATGAAATCTATTGGAACAAGTAGAGAAATGTGGGGCTCCCAAAACAATCAAAAGCTTCTCTATAAACTACCCTTTGTTAAAATGCTTCTACTGCATTAAATTCAGTGTCTCTTTCTGCTAAAGAGATGACATAATGAGCAGGAACCAAAAGTTGATGAGTGTGCAATGAATCTAGAGTTGCCTTGGAAACAGTGGGAACTACCAATCAGTAGAGAGAAAGTGCTCATCCAGGAAGTCATGGAATTGCCTCTCAGGGCCATTTGACAGCATAAGTGAACTTCATAACCATACCTGGAGGCCTGTGCCCACTTCCAAACCCAAAATCTTAGTAAGAATGACAGAAAACATAGCTTGAATATTCAGCTATGTGACCCTAAAGATAATAAAAGTCATCAAAGCAGGGACTTCATAAACATTTTCCATTAAAGGTCTTTTTGGTATGAGAAGTTTTTGCACAACCCTGATGTATAGGAATTTAAGACAGGCAAACAAATCAAACATTAATCATAAAGAAATTAAAGAAATCATCAAGACAATTAAAAAAGACAATAAATCATAAAGAAATTGATTTTAAAGCTATTTCGGTATACCTATACTTTTACTATTTATTAAAAAAAGAAAATTTGCATATGGATAGAATGGATATGCTTGCTAATTTTTACTTAAAGAATTAAATCTTGGCTGAATATTTTACACTGTAGGATATAAAGTGTCTTCAACACTTTTCAGAGTTGATCACTATTTAGAATTTATACTTTGTCAATGCTGATGATACTGCTTTGCATAAATATGTAGTGCAAGATACATTTGAGGCCATGGCAGAAATTGATGGAAATTTTAGCTTAATTTCAACTCAAATTCATATATATATATATATATATAAAACCCAAGTAGCAACTTTGAAAGCCAAACATTCTAATGCAATAGAACCTGAAGATATACTGATTTGATACTTACATACTGAGAATGGAATTAGGAAAATATTAAAAATCTGATTTAAGCCACTATACCGTAATAACAGAAAATTTTATATGTATAACAATACACTGTGATTGATAGACTATAATAATCTCAAATCTGAGCTGAGGTGTTTCAGGTGTTGATATTCCTTGGTGTGATGTCATGCACAGTGCAGTGTGCATGCTGTATATTCAGAGCCACAGCTGCAGTGAAGTCATAGGATGGTTGATGGGAAGCCTGCCAGTGACTTTGGATTAACCACACAGTTGATTTTGAATTAATTCTTGCATGTGCATTCAGAAGCCTTTGTTTCCTGTGGCCGGATTTTTCACAGCCCTCACTGTCAGTTACCTTGACTTCATAAGGTGTTGTAACGAACCCATAGTTCAAAGAGCTGTGATCTGAGCTGTGCTTCCCTCCTGCAGTCTCACAAATTGCAGGACAGACACTGAGAATGACAACACTAATTTATACATGTGTAGTTCTCTAACCCATTTTATTTTATGAGACAGACTGCTGTGGGATGTTCTGTATGTCAAATGTGTTGCTCTGATTGGTTAATAAATAAAACACTGATTGGCCAGTAGCCAGGCAGGAAGTATAGGTGGGACAAGCAAAGAAGAGAATTCGGGGAAGTGGAAGGCTGAGGCAGAGAGACACTGCCAGCTGCGGCCATGAGTTCCAACATGTAAGATACTGGTAAGCCGTGAGCCATGTGGCAAGGTATAGATTTATAGAAATGGATTAATTTAGGATAGAAGAACTAGATAACAAGAAGCCTGCCATGGCCATACAGTTTGTAAGCAATATAAGTCTCTGTGTGTTTACTCGGTTGGGTCTGAGCAGCTGCAGGACTGGTGGGTGAGAGAGATTTGTCCTGACCGTGGGCCAGGCAGGACTGGAGAAAACTCCAGCTACAACAGACTTAGTCACATTACTCTTCTGATGTCACAGAAGACTTTATTCCAGATGTGTAAATAATGAATAATTGAAATGAGACTTGATTCTCAAAGTCCTGCTTATAAACCTCTTTCTTTTCTAAGGAACAACCCGGAGATCTCCAGGGGAGGAATAAGGAACTGAGTGTCAGTCTCTCTGGATCTGGAAACAAGTCCTAGTGGCATTGCCTGTTGGCTCAGGTGCTGAGGTAAGTACATTTGTCCACCTCTTCTCCATCCTGTTCAAGTTTCTGTTCTCATCCAAACCACAAACCCTTCTTCTTCAGGACATTTCTACAAGAAACACATGCACACACATATATGATATATATGTGTGTGTGTTGTGGAATATTACTGTAAATAGGCAAAGGTGTGTTACATTTGTTTATGCTGCATTTGTTTAATGGTGTAAAGGTGTGTTACATTTGTTTATGCTGCATTTGTTTAATGGTGTAAAGATGTGTTGCTGTTTTACCTTGCCTGCCTAAGGCACCTATTTGGTCTAATAAAAAGCTGAACAGCCAATAGCTATGCAGTAGAGGGATATGCAGGGCTGGCCGGCAGAGATAAGTAGTAGGAGGAATCTAGGCTTGAGAAAAGGGAGAAAAGAGAGAAAGAGAATGAGGGAGAAAAAGGGGGAGACACCTGAAGCCAGTCAGGCAGCTTCCAGCCAGCCAGACTCAGAGTAGGACACACAGAATGAAAGAAAGGTAAAAAACCCTGAGGCAAAATGTAGATGAAGAGAAACAGGTTAAATTAAGTTAAAAGAGCTAGTGGGACAAGTATAAGATAAGGCCAAGCATTCGTAACTCTCTCTGTCATGATTTGGGAGCTGGTTGGTAGCCCAAAGGCAAGCCTACTACCTACCTACCTACCTACCTACCTACCTACATATATTTCTGAATTCTTATATCATTTAATTCTCAGAGCTTCTCATATAACACTTGACTACTCTCTGTAGTCTTCCATGAATGAGAACAATCACTGGATTATAAGTTCTTTGAAAGTAAATTATAAATTTGTGGTGTGAGCACTATTCTCTCCCAATTTCCAGCAATTCTGGGCACAATAAAATGTTTCTGTGCATTTATTGTAGCACCATGGTTTATATTACCTCCTATTGTGAACCTGTAGTTATTGGTTATTACTGTTTGCTTGGTTTGTTGAGTTGGGTAGAAATGTAAGTTTAACATTTATGCTGGCCTCCCCATTTTATGACTTCCCTAACCTAAAGTCCTAGAAGCAATTAAACAGACTGCTAACAGTACCAGAGCTCCAGATCCACTGCTACAAGCTCACTCATTTTCCATGCTAATGCGAATTCAGAAACAAGTTTGGCTGCTAGGAGCCTAAGCAGTTTGGCCGACTTTTAGCACATTTCCTACACTGTGAGCATGAGATATAGGTTCTAAGACTTAATGGAGTTAAAATATAGAAAGCTAACAATTCCTGATACATGGGAAGCTCTGTTTTAGAATATTATTTTAAGATGTGTTACATTCATTTATGCTGTGGAATATTTGTTTAATGATGCAAAGATGTGTTGCATTCTTTTATGTTGCATTTTTTTTTAACTCTGTGAAGCTGTGTTAATTTGCCTCTCCAAAACACCTGACTGGTATAATAAAGCGCTGAATGGCCAATAGCAAGGCAGGAGAAAGGATAGGCTGGGCTGGCAGGCAGAGAGAATAAAGAGGAGGAGAAATCTGGGAGGAGCAAGATTGAGAAAAGAAGGGGCCAGCTACCCAGCCAGACTCGGAATAAGAAGGAAAGAAAAGATAAACAGAAGTGGAGAAAGGTAAAAGCCCAAAGGTAAAAGGTTGGCAGGATAATTTAAGGTAAGGAAAGCTTAGATAGAAATAAGCCAAGCTAAGGTCAGGCATTCATAAGAAATAATAAACCTCTACGTGATTTATTTGGGAGCTGGGTGGCAGGCCCCTCAAAGAGCCAAAAGAGTAAAACAAATAACCAACAACAAAGCTTTTTCAATGGCATTTCATACCCGCTGCCCTGGTTCAATCTGCCTCTTTGTTTAGGATATACTATTTTAACAAATACATTCATAAGTGAATTATGCTATGCTTACGTACACTAAAATGTTGCTGACTCATTTGGCAGTCTTTAGAGGGTTAACAAATTAGAGAACTCACCTCCATTCATCTTCAGCCTTGATGTGGTGGAGACACTGTTGTTTTTCAAGAATGCTTCCAAGTTCACTCAGGGTGTCTCCATTTAGTGTGCCCAGGATTAAAATAGTGGAGAGAAATGCTTTGACTTCTTTTTATGGGCCAGGGATGAATCTCCAAAAGTCACATTAAAGGTATCTACTACCTAGGAGGGGAGAGAGGTTTAACCCACGGATCATGGAAAAATGACCTGTATTTCACCATCACAATAATGTACATGCTTCAGGATATCTAAGCCACAGTGGTACCGGGAGGAACCAAGAAGAGTGTGACAGTACAAACCTACGAATGCTTTATCCCCAATAACAGTTCATCCTGGAGGCAACAGCTGCTGACATTGTGGCCTCCAAGTGCCTTTCAGCTAAGATTAAAGGGGCTGCACAAAATGTCACTGGAAAATCAGCTGTCACAAAGGAGCTGCATAATGACAGAAGAGAGTGAGCTTTTAAATGACATGTTTTCTAGTAGACAACAATAATGGTTTCATTATGACATTTTCATACCTGTGATTGAACTTTGCTCACATTTGTTCCCCATTGCTCTCCCTCACCACACGCTGACCCTTTCCAAGCAGGGCTTTTAAATGCTCCGCCTTTTCAGATTTGGGTGCCCAGTCCATCTTACTTTGATAATGTTTTATTCATTCCCTATTTTTAAGTTCACACATGTAACTGTCCTCCCCTGTCGGGAAGACTATGCAGCGTGATTGGTTATAAGGAAGAGGACTCAGGTTTTGAAACGGGAGGGAAGAAGCATGTGTCCGCTGACCTTCTGTCACTGTCCTAAAATACCCGAGACGATTGGTAACAGGAAGGGCTTATTTTGGCCATGAATTTTAGAAGTGTTGGTCTATATTGTTTGTCCCCATTGTTTTGAGCCTGTAGTGAGGCAGGGTGCCATATAAGAGGGCACAGAGGAGGCAGATTGTCCACCTCTCTGCAGACAGAAGCAAAGAGAAGCAGAAAGGGACTGGGGCCCAATATCCTCTTTGAAGACACTTGTCAATGACCTTTCTCACACTGGGTCCCATGTCCTAACTTCCACCACAGGTTAGTGACTAAGCTGTTACCACATGGACATTTGGGGACACTCTACACCCAAACCATAGTGAAAGTGTCTCCCTTGACACACAGATGAACTTCACCAATCCCAGACATTCCATAACCCAGTCAAGTTAACAACCAACACCAACCATTACTCCATCTTGGGACTTGATTCTGAGTGGGAGTTTTGTGAATCATCTTTTGGGGAGTGACCTGTCTGATTTCTATCAAGTCGTTGGTTCTGGAGAGCCCTACCTCTTCCCTGCACTATTTTGTTAGGTTGCATCAGTGACTGACTTCTTTGTCCACTGTATTATGTTGTTTTGATTTTTACATGTCAGAAACATGAACTCCTTACAATAGCAGCTGCAGGTAGTTTTCTCCTTTTCATGATTTCTATTTTTTCCAGTAATGCTTGCTGCTACCCTCTGCAGAGGGTGACATGTATTATTTCCTTCTATTAGGAAGCTGCAATCTGGCAGAGATCTTGTGTTACCATTGGTGGATTTTTTTGAAGTGAACACAAGTAAAAATTTTAATAAAAAATTAAATTTAATTATGATGCATTTATTCTTGAAAAAATTCAAAGAATGTATGTTAAGTGCTATTGCCCCCAAATACATATATGAGTTAATGAATTTGTTAACTTTATATGTAACTATTATGCATATATACTTCAAAACATCATGATGTACATGACAAATACATACTATGCAACAAATTATTTTTTAAAATATTACATCATGTTTTGTATTTGTAACTTTGTGGGGGGTTTTTGTTGTTGTTGTTTTTGTTTTTTCGAGACAGGGTTTCTCTGTGTAGCTTTGTGCCTTTCCTGGATCTTGCTTTGTAGACCAGGCTGACCTCGAACTCACAAAGATCCGCCTGCCTCTGCCTCCTGAGTGCTGGGATTAAAGGCGTGTGCCACCACTGCCCAGCCTTAACTTTGTTTTGAAGTTTGATTTATTTTTATGTGTATGGGTGTTTTGCTTACAGGTGTATCTGTATAGCACATGCATGCCTTGTGTTCAAGGAGTCCAGAAGGGGGCATCAGATGCCCTGGAACTGGAGTTCCAGATGGTTGTGAGCCCCATGTGGATACTAGGAATTCAAACCAAGTCCTCTGGAAGAGCAGCCACTGCTGAGCCAACTCTTCAGCCCCATGTAACAAATTCTTAATTGTTAAACAGGAATAAGAAAATTATATACATTATTTCCTTCTCATTTGCAACCTTGCAGTGAAATACCCATTGTTATTCCCTCTGTCTTTAATTAGTGAGGACATCTGAGATGTTGTGCTCATCTTTAGGAGGTCAAACAGCATTAGCAAAAGCGTTTGAACTAAATTTTAATTTGAAACTCCAAGAATTTAATTATTATGGCAGGTTATTTCCCCTTGGGGTTTGTTATACCTTAAAATCATGTCACTTGGTGTTGTTACTAAAAGGATACTGTAGGAAGCATGGCTATTTGAACCCAGAGACATCACTGAATGGCTTTTTGAGTTCCTATCTGCACATTTCATAGAATTTGGGGGAAAATTAAACCTGCCTCAGACACACCATCACATCTTAGCATTTCTGGCAGTCCATGTGTGCCACCTACACTTTACCTGGAAGTCAGGGCTCACATTTCATCACCGAAATGTGATAACCACAACCATGTTTATCTTTTAGAACTGACCTTGCAGACTGCCCCTTCTAAGAATCTTTTCTATATCTTAACACCCCATATTTGTGTTTTGTTAACATTTTGTGCATATAGCCAAGTGAAAAATACACAAGTCAAAGGGTATTATGATAATTCACTGGGTTTAGGATCATTTTACAAAAAATGATTTCTCAGTCCCATTTTATAGACCGTGAAAAAGTTGAAGATAATGATCTTCCCGGTACTTAGGTTTTATATATATAAGATGTATATATGTATATATGTATACATATACATACGCACGCGCGCACACACACATATACATATATATGTATATATATACCCTCTTTGTATACTAATTGGAATTCATGTTTATGTTTGACCATTTTATTTTTTAAGGAAATTTAAATTTTCTGTGGTAGCTGCTCTTCAGAGTTGGCTGACGTCAGTTCGGTATACTGATAAGCGATTGTTTTCTCTTATCCAGTTCTTGTAGTTGATGGTTTCCGTGAAGTCATCTTTCTGAAAGGAGAACTGGTTATTCTCTCTTTTAAAAGCAATCATACTCATGGCTGAGTTTCGACAATGACTTATGCTCTCTATAGAACTACAATTATGTGGTCAACTCAAGTTATCCCATGTTTAAATAGAGTGGCTATAAATTTGGATTATTTAAAATAATGTTAATATGTACTGTTTTGTGGTCAAAATGGGCAGCAAAAGTGCTAGACATCAGCTTATAGGACTCCTGTACTCTTTAGATTTCTACTTTTCTAAGGTGTCTTTTAAATTTCAAATGCAAGACCACTTAGCTGACTCGCGAATCGATCCTTCTCATTACCAGGCATGCTGACAGAATCACGGGAGTGAACTATGATAACCCAGCATGCTGTGTGTTGCATGCTGATAAGCATTTAAGAGGAAGGAGGAGCAAGGGAGATCAAAACGACTTTGACAGAAACCTCCAGCAGGGCAAATGAGGATGGCACAGTCTATCAGTTTTCTGGATAAATGTGTACAGCTTTGAGTGATTTATTGAAAATTATACACCCTGCATCTAAGAATGCAAACAGGTTTTTTTTTTTTAACACTTCAAAGGTAAAAAAGGTAAAATAGGTCCCACGTAAGTGGAAAGGAATACTAAATAACTTAATTAGAATTTAATCTACATTTATATTGAAACTTGAAAACATAATTCTACCCTATAATGACACAAGTTCTTGTTCATATATATATATATATATATATATATATATATATATATATATAACAACTAGACAGTAAATAATTTTGGTTGTGGGCCATGTACAGTTGCATTGAAACTACTCAATTCTGCTGATGTAAAGCAGTCATAAACAATATATAAACACATGGATACTGAAATTTTATTATATGAGTTTTATAGGACAAAATAACGTTTTTCAACCATAGTTTTGTGCCAGATTGGACTTATGAACTAATCCTAAATTTAGTAAGTACAAAATAATGTCTCTCACTTTTTTCTGTCATTCTTTTAACAGCTCTGCCATTTTCATCCTCATTTACACTTGGATTTTAGCTATTGTCTTTGTTTCTTCTCTTCAGTTTTTAAATATATTAAAAACAGACTAATCATCACACCAGGTGAACAGATTCGTGAACCAGAGAGAGAATTTCAAATAAGCAAAGAAAACCTCAGACAAGGGGGACTGGCAGACACTACAGGTTGACTCACTCAGTATACCGTTTCCAACCAGAATTTGCATTGCCTTCATGTTCTAAGACAAGAACGCCAACAACTGGTCTGCAATAAAGACATGGAGCTGGAGCTGGATACATGACCCAGTCATAGCTAATGAGGTAGGGAAAACAGAAATCTGCTGAGGACTTCTGAGAAGACTGCTTGCCTAACAGGGACAGTCCCTCTGTCTTGCTCCTCCCTCTGCTGCTACTTCTTGATTTCCATTACAAGATGCAGGGGGTGGTGGGTCAGGGTGGGGGTGGGGTGGGGAGCAGTCACCATCTCACTACCACTAGGAAAAAGCAGTAGGGGAAGAGGCCTTTGCTACATCTGCTTGCACTATTTCATCTTCCATTTTATTTTATGTGTAAGGGTCTTTTGCCTGCATGTATTTCTGTGCACTACATTTGTGAAGTGGCCAAGGAGGCCAGACAAAGGTGTTGGATCTCCTGGGACTGGAGTTACAGGTGGTTGTGGCTACCATGAGGTTCTGGGAACCACATAGGTGTTGGGAATCAAACCTTGGTCCTCTGGAAAAGCAACCAGTGCTCTTTAGTGCTGAGCCATATCTCCAGCCCTACTTTGAACTCTTGAGTCAATGCTGAAAAATACCCTCAAATTTTTTTACTGTTAGTGAAAAATAAACAGGGTAATTTGTGTAAGCCACAGTATAAACAGATTTTCTGTTACAGGATAAGTAATTCCTAACTGATTCAAATTGGAAATTGGCTTTTTACAGCAGAAAAATACATTTGCATAAATTCTACTGGAAATAGCATGAAAAGCATAAATGTCTTCAATAAAGAACTCAGTAGCAGGGTTAAGTAGCTGAATGGAAACAATGGAAGATAAATTAACAAATTGGATCATCAAACCTTTCCAAGAAGGTATCAGGAAGGTGAGAAATATGTGGACATAACACAAAACTAAGAGCTCTGGAAAACAGGGGTGGTGTGGTAT